ATGCTCACTAGCAATGCTCAATAGTAAGGCAACCAATGCCTAATTAGAGAGCGCAAGTACTTAGCTACACAAACTAAGCAATGTGACTAACAAGGTTACTAAAACCAAATTAGCCACGTAAGGGAGCTACTTCTATGCTACACAAGTAAGAAGGTAATTAGCAAGCTACACAAGCTATCTAATTACAAGAGCAACTATACAAGCTTAATATGTATAAAAGTAATTGCAAGCTTGTGTAATGGGAATGCAAACCAACGGGAAGAACAAGGTTGACACAATGACTTTTCTCCCGAGGTTCATGTGTTTACCAACACGCTAGTCCCCGTTGTGTTGACCGCTCACTTGGTGGTTCGGCGGCTAATTAGCATCACCCGCTAAGCTCGCACGTCGGGCACCGCAAGAACCTACCCCTAGAGTGAGGGTAGCTCAATGACATGCTTTACTAGAGTTGCTCTTCGCGGCTCCCGCGGGGCGAGCACAATGCCCCTCACAAGCACTTCTCTGGAGCGCCGCACAAGCTTCTTGCGGGATTCGACGGAGACCACCACCAAGCCATCTAGGAGGTGGCAACCTCTAAGAGTAACAAGCACCACCGGCTTGCAACTCAATCATCTAGTGCCACTCGATACAACCTCACGATGCAATCGCACTAGAATCGCTCACTCACACAATCGAATGATCACTATCAAGTATATGTGTGATGGAGGGCTCCCAAGCACTCACAAGCATGGACACTAAGTTCCCTCAGGTGCTCAACACCAGCCATGGCCGAGGGCCACTTCTATTTATAGCCCCAAGGGCTAAACTAGCCGTTACCCCTTCACCGGGCGTTTTTTGGGCTGACCGGACGCAGCACCGGACGTGCATATCGGACGCGTCCGGTCGCTATACCGGACATGTCCGGTAGCGCCTAACCACCATGTGTCCCATTCAAGCTAGCCGTTGCCACAACGGCTCTCTGACATGTCCGACCGGACGCTCACACCGGACGTAGAAGCAGACATGACCGGACGCTGAGCCGCTGCGTCCGGTCGAGTCCAATAAGCACCCAGGTCCAACCGGACATGTCCGGTCACCCATGACCGGACGCAGCCAGCGTCCGGTCGACCGTTCATAGAACTTCGACCATGCAGATTCACACCGGACACGTCCGGTGTGGCGACCAGACGCGTCCGGTCGCTGAGTTCGCCTGTTAATACCGGACATGTCCGGTCACCATACCGGGCGCGTCCGGTCACTTTTTGACCAGCACGACTCACTCCTTTTCTTCGCCAAGTTGATCCACATCAACTCCAACATCATCTCCTTTGTAAATGTGCCAACACCACCAAGTGTACACCACCATGTGTATGTGTGTTAGCTTTTCACAATCATTTCCCAAAGGGTTAGCCACTCATCTTGCCACGCCACTCAATCCTAGCAATGATGCAAAGTTAGATCACTCGAGTGGCACTTAGATGACCGATATGCAAACAAGTTTGCCCCTCTTGATAGTACGACCATCTATCCTAAATCCGGTCATAAACTTCTCTACACACCTATGACTGGTGAAATGAAATGCCCTAGGTTATACCTTTGTCTTGCGCATTCCATTCCATCTCCTCCAACATCGATGCAACACATGCACCAACACGATCAACAATGATATGATCCACTTCATATCATCACGTGATCATATTGGTTCATCGATCTTGACTTCACTTGCTCTTCACCGTTGCCATCGTCCATCGGCGCCAAGTCTTGCTCAAGCTTCACCGCCACGCGGTCCATCACTCTAAAGCCTCCGACTTGCCCTTCACGCTTGCACCCGGTCCATCAAGCCAAGTCTTGTCTTGATCTTCTCCACCTTGATCACATGACTCAATGTCATGTTTCACATGCAATAAGCTCCTTCATCATCACATGTGTGAGCTTTGCAACATCTCCAAGCCATTTCCACCTTCATGGCATATGTTGCTCACACACATGTACCTGTGGACTAATCACTTGTGTATCTCACATAAACACAATTAGTCCATCTAGGTTGTCACTCAATTACCAAAACCACATAGGGACCTTTCACCTACTCACTCCTTTACATTTCTTGCAAACTAGTTGCCAAGCTCTTTAGTGTAGTTAGTCTTTGAGAGCTTGTTAGTTTGGTTAGTATGGCTCTTTAGTTAATCTTTGAGAGCACACTAGCTTAGTGAGTAGTGTCTTAGCTCTTGTGTGTTCCTAGTGATTATAGCAAGTAGAATTGTTGGAATAGGTGGCTTGCAACCCTTGTACAGGTAGAGCAAATTTGTATTACGTTGTTTGTAATACTAATCAATTGCTTTAATGCTTTATAGAGTTTTTAAATAGGCTATTCACCCCCTCTAGCCATATTACGACCTTTCATAGCGTTCGGACAGACGCTCGCAATCGGATGCCTGCGCTACACTCCGGTTCCCCGTGCACGCACCTACACTCTATGCCTATGCTCGCGCCAGCACGCCCCTGCCCTCGCCCATGTGGTGCCCACGCCGTCCGGACGTCGCCTGCGCCGCCAGACCGCGCGCGGGGATCACTCGTGCCCCCTCCGCTTCTCACGCGCATTGCAACATGTGCAACACCTGATCTACTTTTGCAACATCCAAATGAAACACTTGCAACATACATATAAAAATAGATGAAACCCTTGCAACATATGTCTGAAACACCTGAAAACACTTTAAAGCCATTGCAAGCATATGCAACATCCAAATAAAACACTTGCAACATATGTGTGAAACATATACAATATCCAGATAAACACAGTTGCAACTTATGTCTAAAAACAGATAAAACATTTAGAACAGAAGTTTGCAACATATGTGTATAGCATTGCAGCATATGCAACATCCCGGTCTACTTTTGACATCCATATAAAATACTTGCAACATACCTCTGGAACATCTAAAACACTTGAAACATACAAATGAAGTGGAGGTGATCGCCATTGGAGAAGGCGAGTGGCGGACAAGCGGTGGGGAACGCCGCAATGGCCGTGCAAGTTGGAAAACATCGCTGTCTTTTTTTAGAGAAACCATGAAAGAATGAAGGTAGAGGGGAGCGGGCCTGTCGGGCTGGTAGCGCGCAGATCCAGGAAGCATGACGTCCGGACGTCCGGACGGACGCCCCATAGCATCTCCAAAAAAAATTATTTCCGGGGTCGATTTAATGTTGATCTCTCAATTTTTAAAATCATCTTTTTGCACCTTAGTTTTAATCTATATATACTGCCACGTCAGCCACAAAGGTAAATTGAACTGCCTTAATAGTTCAAGGTAAATATTTTTCTCTAAAAGTATGTAATTAAAAAATCTTAAAATCCAACTTAACCTTCAAAAAAAATTGTTTTAGATTGAAAAAACTATGCTCTATCTTCTAGTACATAGCTTGGAATTATTTGAAGTTTATCCGTAGTAGATGATTTCATTATCTATTATAATTTGTCGACGTTAACGATCCAGACTACATAGAAGGCAAGTGACTTCGACAAAGCAGAGTGTTATACTAGGTAACCACCTCATATTTGATCATACCAAATATGATAAGGCATGAGGTGGTTAGATGACACTTGTGTTGTCATCAGAGTCATCTAGAACTTCTAAGTATTCCAGGTTATCAACATAGATTAATTATAATAGATAACGAGGGCATTTCCTAGTAAATAAACACCCAAATAATACAATAGAATATTCAAATCATTCTATGCTATGCACCATAAGATACAACATGATTTTATGAAAAACTAAAATTGGTTTCATATTTTTCTAAGCCAAAACTTTTTTTGATTTTTTTCTCGAACGAGCAGGACAACTGCATATCATTGTATTAATAAGAAAAAAGAGAACCCTTACGGAACACCACACATACCAAAAAAGAAGCTACAAATCACTTTTGCGCCAAGACAAGAAAAGGATCCGAACACAACCTAAAGAACACACACTACTGAGACGACTAGGCAAAAAGGTAAAAATACCTTTAGCCCCAACCAAACCCCACAACTGAATTTCCTCGCTAACAAGCAATAAGGCTATGGCCAAACAAGGAGGTACACCATCAAAAACAAATCTATTACAGTGATCCCAGATGGTCTAGACCCCAAGAATCACAAGCGAGTTGAGGCCTTTCTGTAGTTATCCTCCAACAGCAAGAACAATCTTCTCCCACGAATCATCCAAGAACTCTTCTCCAATATGAAGGGCAAGGATATGTAGACCTACTCTTTGGAATAACCTGAACCAAAAATCTCTTGTAAAGACGCAAAAAGGAAGATAGTTTATGGATTCCTCAGCTTGATCACAATGAGGACACCTCTCTGAATGAGCGAGCCCTCTTCTTGGCAGTCGGTCGCGTGGCCACATGAAGAATTTACACTTGCCATGAGCCCAAAGATCTCTAAATCCTTTGGTAAGGCCCAAAGGAGCCCAAGATTTTCTCTGACTTTTTTAAAATTAAACCAGATTTTAAGATTTTTAATTATATAATAACATAGTACAATTTGCAATACCACCAGTCAGTTCTGTGAAGAAAAAAAAAACAATCATCGTCCATTTTTGCCTTGCAAATTCATGTTACTCAATGAATACTTCTACAGACAACAGCACGTTTCATTATTATTTTTCTAGCCTCTCATCTAGATACTAACTGTTCATGCACGGATATACACCCACGCTAAACACGCACACCACACACACCACTCATGCACTATAAGACCTACAACTACACACAAAATCATCGAAAAATGGAGCCCCATTCAAACTTCATTAATTATTTAAAACATGGTACAACGGGGTTCCATTCAAACTTCATTCATAATTTAAAAGACAGTACAATGGAGCGGAATGTTTTCTAAAAGAACACAGCAAGAGCAAATGCAGCTTGCTGTATACATCAGAACGCCGACAAGTACAAGATGAACTGAGAATAGATGGGTCCGGCGGAGGCAAGGCAGAGGTGTTCATAACATTGAGCTAACAGCAGTCAATAATGTTTTAGTAGAGCCTGCCACAGCAATCCGAGGCGCCACAGTAGCAATGTTTAACCTTCTCCTTGTGATTCTTGTCATAGACCTCCCCTACCTTATAATTATAATGGTAGGTCAGCTCCTGTAGTGGCGGGATATTCTCAACAGCAAAAAACATAACATGCGGCATCCTCATGTCATCATGGTCCCATAGAACATTTTGGGCATAGAGGTTTGGTGAACAACTATGGTTGATAAATCTTCCCACATTGCCACACTCAGCTGCATCTATTGTGAAGCCTTCCATTGTCTCAGAGGACGAGGTAGAAGATCCTACACCAACCACCGACTTTAGCCCCTCCCAAAGTTCTTCATCATGGAAGTTATTGCCAATATCAAATAGATACTCGTCATTCTGTCTCTTTTCAGCTTCTTCATCTTTCAATAGCTCACCAGTATACTCGCATATGAAACTGCCTGATGATATAGAACTGAGGGATCTTACACCCCAACCTGTCTTCCCTGTCTTGAATATTTCTAGTGGAATTTTGATACCATGCTGACTCACCCTATTGTGGCATGTTCGTGGGCACCTGCATGTAGTGGTCAAAAATTGGTTAGCTCACTTGTATATAAAGCTAGATTACTATCTTGGTTTTAAGCTAATTGTCTGGTGTGTATCAATATGTTTGCTTGTTGTCAAAGATCTCCATAACTTCAGGAGAATAGCTAAACTCTGAAACCATTTTTCATATGCCAGACACCAGCTGTTGTTCTTAATGTTTCATAATGTGTCACTATCATCTGGACCTAAAACCAACAATAAGCCTTAATGTAACATCAAATACAAGTTCCAACGAATAGGAATATTTCTCATGGTTTGAAATTCAAATACAGGAACTTCAAAAACCCAATAGAAAACTTTATAACAAATGAATATTTTCAGGTTGACAGTTATTTGGATTACTTAAGTCTTTGCACAGCCATACCTGCATGATGGACCACACTCATATATGAGAGGCCTGGCCTCAACGATCGCACCGTTGAAATTGAACGGTATTTCCCCTCCATTCTTAACTGCACAAGCACACATAATAGAGTCCGAGCAGCCGTTTGTGCAGTTGCAACCCTTTGGAGGTTCTTTTTCATACAAAGCTGGATATATGACTTTGGTGATGTATTTAAATGGTGCTGGCCTCATGTCATCAATTGTGTTAATGACACATATGGGTATCCTCTCGTTTCCTTGAGATATATCCGGCAAACAAAGACCTTCACGAACTTTGGACTTCCTCGTTGCCTTAACTGCATGTAGGGCTAATTCAGGTTGCCCTGCGATCCTCTGTAACTTGTACTTGAAGACCATCTCACCTTTTGGGCCTTCTTGCCAACATTCCAACACTTCGTACAACCCATCATATGTAAATGTTGAAGTTTGCTTGCCTTTAGAATGACCAACTTCACTTCTACTTTGGCCTTTGAACCCATGAATCACACGAACTGGGGATTTGGTTTTGATGCAATTCTTCAAGGCAAGATTGCCCCGCGCAAGCTTTTGATCATCTCTTCCTTTATTCCCACCAGCCTTCCCTCCGGAACCCGTGTATATTAGTTCCCCCGAGCTTGATAATTCATCAGGATAGCCACCGGAGGCAACGATACTTAAAGCAACGAGGACACCATTCACCTTAGCATCGTCAATACCTCCTTGAAATGGGCGATGGAGACCAACTATGGACAACTCAACTCTAAAATGAAATTCATCGCCAACTTCAACACCGGGAATATTTCCCACAACGGCCCCAATCTTTTTATAGATAGGGTCGTTCTTTAGGGCCTTAGCTGCTTCAAGGTCAATCCTCCCAACTTTGCGTTTACCTTGTTCCTCAACCTGTGTAAGCTTTCGATACGTCGCCTGGAACAACTGGAGCAACTTCCTAACTTTGCTTCGAGCATCTATATCATGGTCCCTAGGTTGCTTGTGGTGTGACCCGGAAGGAACAGACGGAAGAACCGTGACACATATTTCTCGCTTTTCTCCATACACAACTAGCGCCCTAGAGTTGTCATCATCTTCCAAGTTAATGTCATCATTGTCATCCATTGTCTCATCATTGCTCGCTTCAAAAGAGGCAATTTTTCCTATTGGTATATCATTTGGAGTAGCATCTAGCTTGTTCATAGGAACAGGGGACTTGGAAGTACTAACAATAGATTTTCTTCCTCGTGTCTCATTGTCATCCATTGTCTCATCATTGATCGATTCACTAAAATCCACTTTTCTTGCCGATATATCTTTTGAAGTAGCATCCTTTCCCTTTATCTTGTTCCTAGGAACAAGAGACTTGGAAGCGCTAGCATCCTTTCCCTTTAGCTTGTTCCTAGGAACAAGAGACTTGGAAGCACTAGCAATAGACTTTCTTCCTCGTGTCCAAGGGCAATTGTCAGGAGCCATCAATGCTTGTACAATTATTTGGTTAGGCTCTTCAATTTGATCAGTTGCAACATGTTTTCCAAGCTTGGACTCCCTAGCGGATGAATGCAAATTATCCTTGCCTATGTCATCACCCTTCAACTTACGAGCAAACTTCTTTTGCTTTGTGTTCATATTTGAGCACGCCACTTCCTTTTTAGCACTCAAAGTCTTACTTTCTATCTTCCCACCTGCAGAGGCCCGTGCATTACCAAGCAATTCGGCATTCATCTTGTCACTATCCAACCTCTTTACTTTTGTCTTTGCATCAATGGAATTGCTCAAAGGTGTCCTAAGATTACTTCTTTGCAAGCTTCCATCAAGTTTATTTTTCATCTTATCATCCACCACTTCTTGTGCTACCTGCTTCCCTTTATGTGCCGAGAGTTTCCCCTTCATCTTCCCATCAGAAACATTCCTCGGTGTAGCTTTTGGAACAACATTTCGCTGGTCACCATCTTGTTTGGTACTGGCAAAATCATCTCGAACTTGGACCCTATTGTGAGCCTTGCTATGTCCTTCATCCACTATTTTCTTGCTTTCCAATTTCTTACTGGAGGCCTCTAGTGCTAAAGTTGGAGAAGCCGACTCTCCTAAAACCGGACTTGCCACCAAGGCATCACCATTGTTGACAGGGGTGGCTTCTGAAGGTAACCCCTCATCTCCACTGCCTGTGGTACTAACAGGAGACCTCCCACAACCAGGAGCAAATGTGCTTATAGGTGAGACATCCAAAACACCAGTGTCTGTGGTGGTAACAGTAGCCCCCCCACAGCCAGGAGAAAATGTGTGTACAGGTGAGCCCTTCAAAACTTCACTGACTTCGGTGGTAACAGCAGTCCTCCCACAGCCAGGTGGAAATTTGCGTACAGCTGAAACCGCCCTCTTCTTAGGCGGCAGATTCAGAGAGGGTTCCATCCACCATTTCCTTCTCCTTCCTGCAATTCCATTTTCTTTTCTCTGTAACTCACTGCCACCTGTTTTGTTTCCAATCTCTGTGACATCCCCATTAACAGCAACCTCCTGCACCACATCGCTGCTGCCACCACGTCCCTTCTCCTCGGCCACCAACAAGCCATCCCCCTTGTCACCGTTCTGCACAGAACTAGCACCGACAGTGCTACAACTCCCCAGCACTACCGCCGTTGGCACCGCCACTTGCACCACCCTGTTCCCTTGCTGACCATCCGATGACAGCTCGCCTGCATCGCACAGCAATTGTGCCTCTCCGTTCTCACCGCCGTCTCCATCCTGCCTAGCCCTCTCCGGCCCTGACTGAGGCAGCACATGTGGGAGGGCGCTGCTGCGCGCTGCAGGTAAAATAGCCGCCACAGCTTCCACCTTATTTTCCTCTTGCTGAGGCAGGGCGCAGTTCTCAGCCGCAGGTGAAACGGCGGCGGGGTCAGCCACCTCCTCCACCTTATCCGATCCCTGCTGCCAAGGCGGGGCGCCGTTCTGACGCACAGTTGAAACTGTGGCGGGGGCGACGACCTCCTCCACCTTATCCGGGCATCCGCTCTGAACCGAAGGCGAAATGACGGCAGGGGCGGCCGCCTCATCGGCTCTGCCGCCGAGGGCGGTGGAGGCGCCATCCACGCCGTTCACGTCAGGACCTGCCGCGGCCGCAGAGGCCGGCGCGGGCGGGGGCGCAGGGAGCCGACCGCACCCGGGCGGCCAGGACCGCTTGGCGGAGACCCTCGAAGGTCTCAACCTGCGCGGCGGTAGCCCCGCCGCGGCCGCGGCCTCGGCCGGCGGCGCCGGCGGCTCCACACCGGCACCCGGCATCCCAAAAAACTGCAAAATCCAAAATCCAGATCGAATTTGAGGACCGATTGTCAATCGAATCGACGCGCAACCCGTAAATAACCGCAACCAAACCCTAGAGCCCCCATCCCACCCCCAACATCGAGTCCGCATCCGGCAAGCAAACCTTTTTCTTTTCTTTTCCCGACAGCGCAACCAAACAAGGAGGAGGAGGAGGAGCGCGCGATGGGCTCACCTTTTTTTTTTCCCCGGTATGCGCGCGGGGCCGGCGCGAGATTACTCTACCACGGCGAGTTTGCGCGGAGGAAGAGGAGGCCGCGGAGAGGCGGGGAGCGGATCTCTCCAGAGGAGGAGGTTGGAGCGGAATGGGAAGGCGACCAACGGTGGTGACGGGGAGGGGGTGTCCGCCAGGCTTCGCGCCCTTGGAAACTGGTTTCGGCTTTCGGGGCCGTCTGGAGAGCGGTCGGTCCAGCAGCCCAGGACAGCAGAACGAGAACCTTGCTGTCGATCTCCGTCCGATGAGCATGGGAGGGGAGGATAGAATATGCTTTCCTTTTCCTCGACCATAATTTTAGCAAATCTTCATCGTATCAGATAATAATATAATAATATGATAATATACTATGTACATTATAAACCTGTTTGACATGGCTTAGCTTCACCTTTAAAGTTATTGTTTTTTGCAAAACAGCTTCGTGAGCAACTTTATTGGAAAAGCTGAGCTATTTTGAAAAGAGCGTTGGGGAATGGCTTCACATGTACACAAAGAATCAAAATTACCATAACACACTTTCCCTCTGTTCTTCGTACTCTTTTTCTTCCGCATTGGAACAGCGACGGTGCCCTCCAACAGCTCAAAATAGCCGTACTCTCACGTCTAAAGCCCCCACGGCGGCGCCCTCCCGGCTCTCTTTAAGCGGCGGTGCATGCCAGCGCCTCACCTCGCCTCGGCGGCACCCTCCCACTTGCTCGGGCAGTCGCGCTTTTAGTATTTCTTCTGCTGCGATGCTCAGCACTGCTTGGCGGCGGTGGCGCCTGCGCCTCGGCTCGACAACGGCGACCGCGCCTGGCTCGACGGTGATTGCGCCCCCCTACTCCCTCGAACTCCGGCGGCGGCGTGCCTCGCGAACTCCGGCATCCATGCGTGTGCCCAGGCGAGCCTCAGCGATATCGCATACAGCGAGCTCCGGCGACCGCGCACCTTCCTCTTCGGCTCTGGTGGTCGTGACTCGCCAGGCCCGGCAACCACCATGTCCTAGCGGCCTCCTGCGCGGCGGCGCGCTTTTTTGCGTCGGCGATCAGCGCTGGCGACGCTTCGGCTCGGCGGTGCAAGGCGCGCGGCATTGACCTCATTGCCACCCGGCCACCCACGCACCCACACGGTGAGCCTCGACGGCCATGCGGCGGACCCGCGCCCTGGCGGCCATGCAGCGGACCCGCACACGGCCTCGCAAGGAGCCCGCGCCGCGGCCAGGAGGCGACGCTCGCGCCATGGTCCAGCGACGGCGACGCCCGCGCACTGGCTCAGCTCCTCTCCACGCATGCGGCGTGCTTGCTTACATCGGTGCGCCCCAGCCGGCCACGCCCAACCGCCTCCCTCCCCCTGCAAGCGTGCTCTCTCTCTCTCTTGGGGCAAAAGCTATCCTTTGTCAACAGTGGGGCCCACATATGGGAGATGAAGCTGGGATAAGCTACTTTTTTTAGCTTTATCTCAACTCATCCCTATGTGAGAGAGGATGAAAAACAGCTTCACCCTTGAAGCTGTTTTGAAAAAAAGTGTTTGGCAAAAAATAGCTCATGAAGCTGTTTGTGAGCCGTGCCAAACAGGCCCTATGTCTACATTGTTTTTCTTCCTAATTTTTTCTCTAGTTGTTCTAACTTGTATTAGCGTGGGTCATGAGTCTGGGTCACATACGAGATATGTAGGGTGTGAACCAATATCCATTGGAATCGGACCCATATTCATCATCGCTACGCGAGTTGTCCTAACTCGTATGAATATAGGTCATGAGTCCAAATCACATACGAGACATGGAGGGCGTGGGTATAGTTTGGGAAGTAAATAAGTAGGACGGAAGAATTGTCCACTATCCAGATAGTTAGGGGAGGTTGAAAGCTCTAGTTTGGTTTTGGTGAATTGATGAAACCCGAAGTGCTAACCTAGTTTATCAAAGTGATTATAAGATAGGTACCACTACTCCAAGTGATGAAGTAAATGAAGATCATGACATGATGATGGTGAAGGAATGGTGATGATCAAATGCTTGGACTTAGAAAAGAAGAAAGAAAAATAAAAAGCTCAAGGCAAAGGTGAAATTGATAGGAGCTTTTCGGTTTAGTGATCGAGACACTTAGAGAGTGTGATCACATTTAGGATCGATAGCCGTACTATTAAGAGGGGTGAAACTCGTATCGAAATACAATTATCAAAGTGCCATTAGATGCTCTAACCCATTGCATATGCATTTAGATCTAGTGGAGTGCTAACACCCTTGAAAACATTTGTGAAAATATACTAACACATGTGCACAAGGTGATACACTTGGTGGTTGGCACATTTGAGTAAGGGTGGAGAAGTTGGTAAAATGAAGGAGGTGATAGTCACTGAAAAATAGTGACCAAACGCTGGTCACGTGGTGACCGGACTCGGGGGAGTAGCGTCCGGTCATTTATAAAAATCAGTGGGGGTGCTCGGGCTACTCTCGGCCTAGACCGGACGTAGGTGACCGGACTTTGGGTGAACACTATTCAGCATCCGGTCCTGCTGACGTGGCGACGCACAGTCACGAAAAACCGTCTCTGGAACCTTACCGAAAACGATCGGACTCCAGTGATGGAGTGTCCAGTCACTTTGAGCTGCGCGTCCGGTCGCAACTTAACACGTGGCGCGAAGCAAACTAGCCATTGAGATCACGTGGACGAGGATAAACCAAGGGGCCACGTGGCGCGCATCGTGCGACCGGATGCTGGGCGGCGTGCGTCCGGTCGGTGCGCAGTGGGGTGCTCTGTGAGCCCAACAGCTCTGTTTCGTTGGGGGCTCTATTTAAAGGCGTGTGGCCGGCTCTAGCTCAGACTCTTGGCCATTTGTATTGATATAGCAACCTTGTGAGCTTAGCCAAAGCCCTTTCATTCATCTCTATCATTGATTCATCATCTTTGTGAGATTGGAAGTGAATCCAAATGTATTGCTTGAGTGTTTGCATCTAGAGGCACTTAGTGTTCGTGTTTCGCTGCGGGTTTGGCTTGTTACTCTTGGTGGTTGCCGCCACCTAGACGGTTTGGAGCAGCAAGGATCATCGAGCGGAGGTTGGTGATTGTCTCTGGCTCCGATCGTGGTGATTGTGATGGGTTCTTGACCTTTACTTGGTGCAGAGCCAAAATGCATTCTAATAAATTGCTCGTGGCTTATGTGATCCTCATCTTGTGTTGGTTGTGCGCACCCTATTGAGGGTTTGACGTGTGATGCCAATTAGCGCATGAACCTCAAAGTGAGTGAATCGCCACAACGATGATTAGCTTGCCGCGGCAAGCAAGTGAACCTCGGTAAAAATCATTGTCATCATTTGATTCTGAGGTAATTGGTCTTCATTGGTATTTATTCCTGTGATTGATTAGTTCATTCCTCGACTCGGCGGTATAACCATCTTGCTCTCTTTTTTACATTACCACAAACTAGTTGTCAAGCTCTTTAGTGTAGCTAGTCGTGAGAGCTTGTTAGTTTGGTTAGTGTGGTTCTTTAGTTAGCCTTTGAGAGCACACTAACTTAGTGTAGTAACATAGTCATTATATGGATAGAGACTATAGAAACTAGAATTGAGGTAGGTGGCTTGCTTTTTAGTAGGCTAGCGCAACACTCGCTTCGTCTCATATTTGTCTAACCGGTTTGCTAAGTGTTGTTGTAGAAATTTTTAATAGGCTATTCACCCCCTCTAGCCATTAGGACCTTTTAGAGGTGGATGAAAAAAATATGTGGAGAGAAATTTTGCCTCCTTAATATTGTGGTAGCAAATATGCCTGTGTGTTGCAACGGGAGAAAAAACTATTAAATATTTATGCAAAATGATAACGTGAATGGTACATATCTACTTATGTTTTATGCTTTTATAATTTATTTTGTGATGGCCGTCACATCCATAACATAAGTTAATGCTAACAATAAATAACAATGTCCTATTAAAACTATATCGAATTAAAATACATCTTGGTATATTTTTGCTTCCATTGCAAAGTGCATAATTATTTAGATATAAATATATCAAAACTTTAATTCTCCATAGTACCCATGTGTTTCTATGACGCAATATAGACTTTTATAGTTTTTCTGACGCATCATGTCAACGTCCTTAACTTTTTCGTTGATGTGTAAAGGATTGGTCTGTCCGTCAATGATTATGATGGGGAGACCTCTCTTAATTTTTCACATGGCAGCCCTCGTCAGAAATTATATAAATATATTTGTTTAGATTTCATTAGACAATAATATGCACAAGAATTTGGTTCACAAAATAATTACTTGTAATATTGACTAATCCATATTTTAATAAAAATAAGTTTTGTTTCTAATCAGAACTACATCGATGGTGTACATATTTCTTCTCAAAACTTAATGCGCAAATAAACTTAATAATTGCTAAAAAGTAGGGGTTATACATCGGGGCTTACCTTGGGTTGGAACCGGACATCGAAAAGTTAGTGAAAGCTTTGGGAACACCGGTGACGAGGACATCCTCCTCGTACTCCTCGGCCACCTCCGTGTATTCTAGGTCTGTCTCTCACACGTTCTCGGTCATCGTCGAACCTATATATAATTGCTGAAAAGTAGGGGTTATGCACCGGAGCTTATCTTGGGTAGAAATTGGATATCAAAAAGTTAGTGAAGGCTTTAGAAACACCGACAACGAGGAATCCTCCTCATACTCCTCGACCACCTTCGCCTATTCTAGGTCTTCCCATGGCACATCCTCGGTCATCGCCGAATCTATATGCATGAAACATATGTAAGGATGATTTAACATACCTATAGATAAAAGTACAACCTAACAAGATTCATAGCATTTATGGATAGGCCATATTTTTATGAAGTTAACAAAACTGGTTTAGTATTTTTCTAATATTTCTATAATTTTTTGTGAATTTTGCAAGATATTTGTTTTTTTATAAATAAGAAAAAATGAAAGAAAAAGAAAAGACTTGCATGGGCTTGGTCCAGCCCACAACGAAGCTGGCCTAGCTGCAAGGATTTAGCCCAGGTTGAGAAAAAAAGCCTATCAGGAGAGACCCACTTGGGTCTGGACATTTTATATCAGGAACCCGATCTGTTTCAAAAATTATTAAGGTTCTCCCACCTATTCTTTCTCTCTAGCATCTTTACAACTAGAACCCCATATTTTTTTCTATTCTCTTCCCCACACTCGGCAATTTTACCGTAATCGTGAAAGGACGCCAGAGTGCAAGACCGAGCCAGTCTCGGGAAGGCAGAAAAATGATCGAGCCAGAAAAAAATACAGCGAAATTTTTGCCTCGTTATTATTAGGTATAGATATAGAACAGATATAGATAGATAGATAGATAGATATAAATATACTACTCCATATAGCTTCTGGAATCCGCGTTACGAGAGCGCTCTTATTACTGTTTTGCTCCTGTTGACGAATCGTGTGCAGCGGCTCGTGCGTGTGTGATCATCGATTCGCTCTCTCTTCGTTAAATTGGGCCAGTAGTAATAAAAAATCGTCGGGACTCCAGGCTCGCCGTCTCCGTCCGCGCTTCTTCTTCCTCTTCCTCTCCCCAGCAGTGACATCGCAGGCTCACCGCTCATACGTCGGCGCCACCGCCCCGTAAGAAGCACCGCCGTGGAGGCCGCCTCCTAGCGACCCAGATCCAGCTTCCCGTAATCGCTTCCCTCCTCACACCCCAGACCATCCCGTCAGTGGCATCAGGGGACGCGTCCTTGGCCGGCTTAACGCCGATGCCCGCGTGCTCCACCTTCAAGGTCCACCCTGGCGTTGATGCCGGGGTGTGAGGCCACCAGAGGGCGGCCGGGAAGCCGAACGAGTCACAGGACCTCCGCTCCGTCGCTAGGCCCGCGGTAGCGGAGCCTCCCTTCCTCTGCCTCAACCGCCGCCACCTGGGCCAGCGCGGGAGCGTGCCGGTGGAGCGACGTGCCCAGCATCGTCTTAACGCTCCTCAGCGGCAACCCAAGGACCGACTCCTACAATGAGACCCGCAGAATGTTCGTCGTATGCAACCATGCCTGATAAGCAAACATGCCCGTCCCCAGGTTTGTGCCTTCTTCTTTATTTGGTTCTTACTTTATTTGTTGATTATTTTGGTTCTATTACAAATCTGAATATCATGTGCCAACCGGCCTTAGTTTAGCCTGCCCTGCATATCATCAGTATGGTGACTTTGGGCACTTCTTAATTGTCTTGCTTTAGCCTACTTTTAGACTCTACAGTGAGCAGAGCAGGAACTCAATGGTCTTGCTTGACTT